AATCAAAGCAAAACTGGATTCTAACAGACTCACTCATCATTGCAGCCGGTGTTTTTATGGCTAGTCAAAAATAAAAAAAACCCAGGGTGTCACTCTGAACCAAAAAGCAAGTTCTTTTGAGGAGAAGATATTTTTGTTTATTGTTATCATCTCTGACAGAATGGTGTTGCCACAGCTGTTGCATATCTGCTCAGTGAGAGAAACAGAGGAGAAACAGTCAGTGACATTTAACACTGGATGCTAAATTTAATGACATTTACACTCACCGGCCATTTTATTAGGTACYCCACGCTAGTAACGCGTTGGACCCCCTTTTGCCTTCAGAACTGCCTCAATTCTTCGTGGCATAGATTCAACAAGGTGCTGGAAGCATTCCTCAGAGATTTTGGTCCATATTGACANCTCCACACTACTGTTGAACTCTGTTCACTGCCGAACTCTGTCTACTCCACTGAGAGGCCTTATATATATGTTAACAAACACCATTCTGTCATCTTAGCAAGATTTGATACAAGGTTAATGGAAAACACAAAAGATAAACACAAGTGATATCTAAGAATGATTGTTGTTAGCAAATCTTGTTCTGACTTTAACCATTCTATCTGTAGATGAACAGCATGTCATGAAAAACTAGGTCATTAAAGGATGTCGTGAATCACCTGCTTAAACATAAAGCATTAGTTCTATTACAATATCTTTATTTCTTTCAAAGCATTAACATTCCGCACAGCTTATAAAACCACCAGCAGCGAAAAAGTATTTGTTTTTCACTTAAACTTGATGCATATTTGTCCTCAAATATGACGAAATTAGCGGCTCAAAATGGCCGACTGGAAGTGTTAATATCCAAACTTTTTTACTTCTCCTGGCCACAAAAATCACTCTTTTCATGTTTTGAAGCACTCGAAACACTTAATAACAAATATATTTTCATTTTATCAGCATGTTTAGTTAGCTAACTGGCCAAAAAACGATGGAAAAAAAAACGTTTTCCTGTGAGCGTGGCTGTCTTCGGTAGCGTATCAATACTGCCTAAATATGGCGACCTACTCCGTGTTTACCTCGTCCGTCACTAAACAAAGTTTCCACCCCCCTCAATATATATACCAAATGAAAAGGTACGGTGATTGGCTACTCAGATGTGACATCAGAACGAAGCAAAGAGCTGTCTGGCCGATTCTACAGTCAATCAAACCCAGGATGACGGAAAACGGAAGTTGGTCACTTCTCATGTATTATTGGCTCTGAATAGCCGGTACTTGAACCCAATTGGTCAAATGAGGTGTCAATCGAAAAAGGAGAGCCTAGATGTCAATTTTGAGGCATTGCACATGGACACAGGTTGAACGGAAACACAGAACGACATTTCAAAATAAAACAAAACAAAAACGGTATGCAGGCGTTCTTCTGAATGTTAACAGGCTAACTGCTGTAACTTAAGTGCTGTAACTAAAGACTACCTGACAAACAGACCACAGTTTGTGAGACTGAAGGACTGTGTGTCTAACCATGTGGTCAGCAGCACAGGAGCACCACAGGGAACTGTACTCTCACCATTCCTGTRCARYCTGTACACTTCAGACTTCCAGCACAAGTCAGACTGCTGTCATCTACAGAAATACTCAGTAGACTCTGCAGTTGTTGGCTGTATCAGAGATGGACAGGAAGCTGAGTACAGAGAGCTGGTGGACTGCTTTGTGACATGGTGTGGGAACAATCATCTCATCATGGGGTTTCCATCATGGGAGAAGAAGTCTGTTGTTGAGAGCGTCATCTCTTCTGCAGATCTTCTACAAGTCTGTTGTTGAGAGCATCATCTCTTCTGCCATCATCTGTTGGGGCAGCAGCATCAGAGCCAGGGACCTAAAAAGGCTAAACAACCTGATAAAGAAGGCTGGTTCTGTTCTGGGGACGACTGTGGAATCTCTGGAGATGATGGTGCAAAGAAGGATTTTACATCAAATCAAGAACATTGTGGACAACCCTGACCATCCTCTTCATCAGACTGTCATAGAAAGACAGTCTTCAGTCGGAGGCTTCTTCAACTTCGCTGTAATACAGACCGCTACAGAAGATCTTTCCTGCCCACAGCCATCAGCATCTACAATAAGTTTTTAGTTAAATGAGTTACAACACCTAATTTCCCTCTGAGATCAATAAAGTATTTTTGAACTGAATTGAATTGAATTTGAACTTCAACTCAAAGTTTGAACTTCTTGACTCTGCAGGTACAAGCGCTCAACGCTCCTCCTGCACGTGTGACTCTCCTGCGTGTGCACAACTCCCTTTCTGCGTGTAACACTTTTGACACAAATATTCCACCTGGCTCTGGAGCAGAACTGATATTTCACTGGCTAACACTAATAAAAAAATTAACCTTTAAAGTAATAATATCTAAAGCTGGGCCCAATCCATTTTTTTAATTTCATATTGTGACACACTGTTTTCCAGTTAGTCTGGTACACGGTCACTCTAGTCTAAATCAGTTATCAGGTATATTACAAATAGATACTTCTTTGGTGGGGACTTGGGTATTTTAAATGCAATATTTGGGATGTGTCGGGTAAAAATGGAATAGTAAATACCAGTGAAAATAAAAATGTTTCATAAAAGTGTATATGTGTATATGTGTTCAGCTAGATTGAACTAATTTAGAGTTAACACAATTAATTAATTAGGCATAATATTCTGGACTCAAAAATTATGAGTTACATGAGATTGGACATTTGTAAATTAGTTTTTTGACACCTGTCTCACTCCCGTTCAGGAGGTCCCTCATATTTAACAAGCCTGGTACAGTTGTACTGATGTCTGCAGAATAACCATAATTTATATCACATTCTGTATTATGTCGTAATATATTCAAGTCTTTCAGATGTATTTCACAATAATTAATTTCATAGAAAAGATCTCTCAACTCTAACATCTGTGCCTGTTTGTTAAATCACAGAGGTATAGATTTATGAGGTACAGTATATATCCCAGCAGTGCACAATATTATAGGTCCACGTTGTAACTGAAATACAACACTGTGTCAGATTAAAAAAAACTATGTGGAGTTAGGAATAGTTCATATTAACAGCTGTTAAGTTAGAACTGTGAAAAAAACACTGGCTAGTACCATATTATTCTGCATATAGATCCTGCTTTTTATAACTCTGACAACTGTTTGATTGTGTTTATTAAATTTACTGCATAATTTAGTTAAGCCTGCCTGCAGCTAACATGATATATTGCAGAACAGGGTAGTGGTGCGCGACTGCTCCTCTTCTGAGTAAATGAAAACCATGTAACAGTTGTTTACACTTAACTAAAAATGTTTTACCAAAGAAAAACCAGAAAAGGACTACAGAGAGATGAATATGATTTAGATTTTTATTTCTGTGACTGTATACGACCCACAGGAGACAACATTAACAGCAGTAGTTACGTATTTCATTCCGTTCTTTGGCTTTAGCAGCTCCTTTAATTCCACGACTGACGCTGCTAAAAATGACAGATTTTCTTTTCTCGATCTCGGAGAGCAAGACTTTAATCTCAGAATTCGTAAAGTTCTTTTTCCTTTTCGCTGTCATTTTCTTCCTGATATCTGAGGCAGGAAACGTAGCCTTATATGTGCTTTTGGGGGTGGTAATTATGTTGATCTCCTCTCGCGTGCACGAGCAGCTGGATACGAACAGGTGGAATTCATCATGTTTACGCAGCTCATTTACACACTTTTCCTGAAGATAGAGGAGTTTGTTGAATCTGACGTGGCATGTTCGTATGAACCCTTCATACGAAGAAAAGTAAGAGAAATTTAGGATAAGAATACGAACATGTTCTTTCATGCGGTCCATTGTGTGTAAAAGGCAAGCTAACAGCTGTTTAGCTGCCACAGGAGTGCGCACGGCCTGTTTGTCTTGGTTGCTTCAGTTCCTGAATAAAACTATTAACACAGAAAGATATAAGTTTGTATGACCAAGACTGCAACCAAGGTATGTCTACGTTTTGTTTGACATCTACCCCAAAAATGAAAGTTTCTTTGAGATGATTTTCAGATATTCATAGTTAAAGTGAAAATCTGCAATTTTCAAATTTCCACAGGGTTTTATCACATTAAAGTGAGTTTATGATACATGTTCTGTGATCCATCCTGGCTGCAGGATTACTGATGTTAGAGAGAATGCTGACAGTTTGTGCCGAGTTTAAAAAAAACGAGCTAACCACAAATGAATTCACAAACCATGGAGCTCTTTGGAATGCATATTTACCTGACCTTGCAATGCAACTGAGTTGCTTCAGGCTCTGATGTAGAAACAAATACCCCACTGCCTCAATCAGTCTGTGTTATTTAAAGGGTGGGATTTTGCACAGATTGACAAGAGTAAAAATGTTATGATTTTATTCTTATCACCACAAAACAGTTTCAGGCTCAGTATTTTTATTGGGTATGTCAGATCTGCTTTATTTGGAAATATTTTATTTCTCTAAAATGTTAATGTATACCATTTCTGTTGACATTGGCAAGAAATTAAAAAGCTAAAAATGATCCAAAGACTAATGAATTATTTTTGTACTTTGTATTAAGAAATTGTTAAAGCATTTAAAGCAATATTCAATCAAATCAAAATGAATTGTGACCCAAAGAATTGTAGCTGAATTGAACTGTGAGGTTGTTAACAGTACCAGCCCTAACCATTACACAGAACTGGACTCAGCTCTACATTAAAGCTGGATGTGTCCAATTTAATCAACAATGATGTGAAATATTCTGTTCTTGAGTACAGAACGCTTGAAAATAATTCAATTATTCAGACTGTAAGGGTTTGACTTATACTTCTTATAAACAAAGTTATAAAGGAAATTTAGCAAGGATCTCTTATTTTCAGTAAATATCTCTTTTTTGCAAAACAAAAAAGAGATATTCTCCCTATGGGAGAATACACATTTCCACCTGTGTTTGACGCTGGTCTCAGAAGACCTCCCTTAAGAGACAGTTTATTTTCTTTAATGAAGATAACAAAATAATGTTTATATTTTTGATTTGTGTTCTCTTTAACTACAATTGACCATCAATATTCTGAAGTTTGCCCACCAAAAACCATTGATCTCCAAAAATCTTGGCCATCGTCACCGGCAGTCTCCACTTCCTTGTTTTCCCGGTACACTGGACTTGACGGTATAGTCAGGTTTAGCTTTCAATACTTGAAAATTCTAAAACAGAACCTAGGATTTTAAACTTTCCCCACAATTGGGTGAACATTTCTCCTCATCTTCCTTCACTTGCTGGATCATGCTGGATCATCCTGGTATCCTTTGACTGGAGAAATGCCATAACCTCTGTTTGAGCATCATTTTGCAACAGAACTGTATGAACAAGAACACATAGGTTAGGTCACATGCAGTTGCTTTTGCCCCCATTAATATTTTCTATTTACCACCTTTCAGTAAAACATCCTTATAATCAGCTCTTTCAATTGGTAAAACAGGACCCTGCAAATAAAAATTATACATGTAAAGTTTTTTCTTAAGTCAAACATTTAAAAAAAAGTTAAGAACTCAATTTTCACTTCAGTTTGAGCAAAACCATTGAGCTGGATTAAAGGAAAACAGAACCACCAACACCACACAAAAAAGGAGAAGAAAAGAAAACTTTTTGTACAAACCTTGCCTGATCCACACAGCTACCACAAAAACCACTCAGAACCCAAGCACCTCCCATGGTTCCTGTCTCTGACTGAAGATGCAACCAACATCTGAGGTTTAAATACCTGCAGGTTGCAGGTTTCACAGGTGTGTGTAATCTGCCATGATTGCTTCTCTCCTCAGAAAAGCCACCTGTGTTAATTTCAGTTTCCAATAGAGAATTATTTAAAACTGCTTTAAATTTGTTTGTCTTTGTGCTGGATCTTCCTGCTACTATATTTAATTTACATCAGTCTTTTAGTATAATTTCTAGTTCACAAGATTTAGTTTTTGTTTCCCACTTTAACTGGATGATCCAGAAAGAATATTCTGTTTTAAACATTTTTTTTCAATATATTAAGGTTTTTGGTGTGAAACATTTATTTCTTACATAATTGAGGTGCGGCGTTATCATTAAAGTCAACATGTGATGCTTTTAAATCCTTCTTTTTCCCTTTTAAATCATTTAGTTGGGTTCTATATAAAGTGGAACTACAATGCTTTGGTCTAAATTCCTCCTTATTCGACCAGCTCCACTTTCACCTGTTTTCTGGGGGTGTGTCTTCTTCTTCTTCTTCTTGTCGGTTTTATGGCGGTTGGCAACAAACTGTTAGTAGCATTACCGCCACTTACTGGTATGGAGTGTGGTTCGTGAT